CTACTGTTCCCGTGATCGTCTCTTTTCATTTATGCCCGGGGACATAAATTCAGGAAAGCAGGCAAGGCACAGGACCGCATAGATGAGGTAGAGGCACAACTGACTGACTGCAAGGGATTTCATAATCGACCGTGACTTCGAACGCCTCCGACCAATGGGTACACACATCCGTCGATTGTATGGTTTGTCTGTGGCAGCCTGAATTCAGTAGTGCTGCGCGTATTTGCCTCCTTCTCATCTTCCAAACCTTTGTCTAGCCGCGCGCCCGGCGCTGACTCATCCTCTTACCTCTGCGCGTTCTTGTACTTTCGTGCGCCCCCGCTGTCGACGTGCCCGTGCCCGGAGTTAATCGATTCCTCGCGAGCTCTGACGCCAACACCTACACCCTATCCTGATTGGCTGATGACTGGACAAGGTTTCGCTAAACCCGCGCGCAGAGACACTTTTACACCGAATCGACTGGTTTCCCTACGCGGTGCTTGCAGCAGCTACTGTAAAGCTTCTTGAACAGTAAGGTTGTCCGAATTCATTCAGTCTTCCCAGACTTGTGATTTGGGGATCCTTCTGGTGTCCAGACAACGACTAGCCCTCGATATGTCGCCCACACGCACGACCTGTCAATTCATCCGATTTTTGATATGCGCAACTCTCCGTATCATGCGATACCGAGGTGATTAACAGAAAAATAAGCTTTCACAGTATCGACTAGCACCATTTAGTTATAGGAATACATTTGAATTCATTGACAGGGTCAAAGACCTGAACCTAAAGAACTGGACCCGGGCTGGACGACACTGCATTTAAGCACGTCCCCATCCGTCTGCAGTGAGTTAACGTGAAGGTATGTAGATCGTATCAGCAGTAGACCACTTCATACGCTGCAGCCAAATTAGAAGAAGATGAGATCGCTGTAACATGATCTTTTAATGGCCTGGCGTTTCGGATCCTCCCTCGAACCCATCATCAAAGGCAGTCCTAGTCAATCTTTACAAGGCAACGAATGTTTGTGGGAACCTAATTACCCGGCAATAAAAGGAATAAGGAAGAAAACTTGTCGAGCGCAGGATCAAGTTTTCGTTCTTAT